ACACAGGACCTTGTTTCATACGGTCTCATCGGAAGGACAGTCCCCCACGTCCCACAGTGGGATTCGAACCACGACGTAAGGATCAACTCCTTACTTCGGTACTATAGAACAGACGCTCTAATGACTGCGATATGCGGGTGACCTTGGGGATATAAAATAAAAACAATGAAGAAAACGGTTAGTAAAAAGTAAGAAGGGGTCGTTTTTAAGTATTATTCTTACGAACTTCAGGGCAAGAATGAGAAACAATATTTACGAAAGCTTCCTGATATAAAAAAGATTACTTTTTTTCAAATCATGACTAGAGTTTTCCCTTGCAAAGTGATTGTGTATTTTGGGGGTAGAGTGGATGAAATGGGAATTAAACGGTCTGTTTAACTGTCCATATGTCTGTCTTCCCCTTAAAGTTCTTCCCAGAAGGTCAGGCTATAACATAAAGAAACCAGAAGCTTGTACTCGATACAAAGATTTCAAGTGATCTTAGGATGTGTAATTGTATTTATATATTCAAGGCAATATTACGACAAATTCAAGGTCACTGGAGAAAGAATTAATGTTTTGGTGCATCATTTATATGTAATCAAGAATTTCTGTAAGCTCATTCTTGATACAGAGATTGCTTGTGACAAAAAGGTTTTTTTTACTCAAAAAACAGTATTTTTTTCATTCTGACTATATTTGTTCAAGTCCATACTTGATACAAATTGCTTATAGCCCACCGGTTTTCAAATGACTTTAAGGTAATGAATTTCTAAAAGTTGTTTCAGATTGAGGGTTTGTCTTGACAAAGAGCCAAGGTTATTCTGTTAAAATCAAGGTCACTGACAGAAGGAATCTTTTCTTTTCCACGCTATGAACTAGTAAGTGAAAATCATTTGAGGCTTTTACTTGAAACATAGATTACTTATGATTGGAGGTTGTGTCATGACCCTGATCAAAGGTCTTTCTGGCAAATCAAGGTCACTGACAGAGAAAAAAAAATGTTTAAGCATAATTTTGTAATTAAGATTCACTGGAGGCTCATGCTGAGAAGAAAGATTGTTCACATTAGAAAGTGCAGTAACCTTGACACAAGGTCGGTGCTTTCTGTCCACAGCTCCAACGGAAGACCTACCCGTTGCTTTGCAACGAGCTCGGCTCTAGTTTTATTTTATTTATTTATTTTTTTTTGCAATTTGAGGTAAGAATTTGGAAGAATTAATCCATAACCGTGCGCACAATTCTGTGCCATAACTATAGAGTTTTTTTAAATGGGTAACACTGTAGCTCTCCGGTCTGTCAAAGTATTTATGACGAGAGCTACAATTCTGCAGCAAATACAAAACGTACGTCTGAAATTTTTACTGTGGAAGCAAAATATTTTTATTGTAGAGCTTTTTCTTTTATTACATCATACAAAGCGTACTGTGGAAATTATAAAGATGAAAGGACCCACATGATTTAGTGACATCCCATAGACACATTAACGGGGAAGTTTATATATCTATGTATAGTCCTTTATACAGTACCTACTTGTAAATATCAACTCAGAAGGTGAGAAATCTTAAATTTAACGCTGTCATTTTGAAAGGAAGTGAGACGGTAGGCCATATATATAATTATATGAGTGAAAACAGGATAATAAGGAAATGTTTAAGGATATTCAAACATGATGAAAGCAAATCTACAGTTCAACTGGAACTGCTGATGAAATGATTTAATGTTGTTTTACGTTCTGTTTGAGTTTCTTCACTCGTATACATGTGAAGGGGTTCTTTCGATCTTTACCCGGTTGTTGCAACCACGATTGAAATAAGGACTACTATTGAAATCATTATATCAATAGTGGTTGAGAGTGCATTTCAATAACAAACATAGTTAGTAAACGCTATTGAAATACGACCACTATCGAAACTAGAGGTACTTTGAGCAATGGGCTCACTAAATGATACCCCCGCCTCCCATATGTGTATAAATTGCAGTGTCCATGTTTTGCCATGGGGAACCCAAAATATGTAACGGATCAAAACGTGAAATAGAAGGTGCACAATGGCAATATGTAATAAAGATTATGTGAAACTTTCATTAAATTTCATTTAGTGGTATAAGAGAAGTTGCGGGTGAGAGATGGGTACCCCAAAGCTTAACAGACGGACGGTCGTACAGACGGACGGAATTAACGATTACTATATATCCTCCCGCTTTTTAAGCGGGGGTATAATAATTATATCAGTAGTGGTAGAGAGTGCATTTCAATAACAAACATAGTTAGTGACCACTATTGAAATACAACCACTATTGAAATAATTATTTCAGTAGTGGTTTAGAGTGTGTTTCAATACAAAACCATTTTTGAAATAATAATTTCAATAGTGGGTGAGATTCATTTCAATAACAAATATAGGTTGCAACCACTATCGAAATAATTTCACTTTTGAAATAGATTTCAATATGGATTAAATTATGTTTTTAGTTTTGAGGTACATGTATTATCAACTACATGTATCCAAATATTTATTTAAATCACTTTGAAATTCTTATTTCAGTAAATATCTAAATCTTCAATTAATGACAGATGATACAAACAAAATATGGATGCCTTGATTGGTATGTATATTTTTGGTCTGATTTCATTGAAAATGATTCAAATAATAAATTTCTAGACTATAAAAAAATTGTTAGCCTTCTCGGATGTTTAAAATTCTGCCTCACTAAAACCATCCTTAATAATTTATACACTTTAATTACCGTAAATGTATTATATTTGGCGTGTACGATATTTGGCGGAAATTGAATTTTCAACAAGTTGGCGTAGATATGATTTATCGCTTTTTGAATGTGCTTTACATTAACCTTTATACACAAAGCATTTAGCGATGTACTTGATTTAGCGGAGGCTGCTTTCCGCGAAAGGCGCTAAAAAGAATACACAGCCAAATGTAATACGTTTACAGTATTAATCTATATATTTTTTTTACTCCAAATCCAATTTTTGTAAAATTTTGGATAAAAAATTACGCGATGAAACTTTTCTTTCAAAACTGTTCGTATTTCAATAGTGGTTGAAACCTATGGTTATCATATTGAAATGCACTCTTTCAACTATTAAATGATAATTTCAATGGTGCTCGTATTTCAATAGAAGTTGAAAGCTATAATCATTATATTTTAATGCACTCTAAACCGCAATTGAAATAATTATTTCAGTGGTGGTCGTATTTCAATATTTCTTACTATCTATGTTTGTAATTGAAACGCACTCTCAACCACTATTAATATAATTATTTCAATAGTGGTCGTATTTCAATAGTGGTTACTTACTATGTTGCTATTGAAATGCACTCTCGACCACTATCAATATAATTATTTCAATAGTGGTTGTATTTCAATAGTGGTTTCTAACTGTGTTTGCTATGGAAATGCACTCTCAACCACTATTGATATAACTATTATATTCCCCGCTTGAAAAGTGGGAGGGTATACTGTAATCAGTATGCCCGTCCGTCCGTCTGTCACTCTTTAGGGTACCCATCTCTTATCTGCAACTCCTCTTATACCACTGAGTGAAATTAAATGAAACTTTCACAGAATCTTTATTACATATTTCCATTGTGCGCCTTCATTTTAGTTTTTGATCCAACACATATTTAGGGTTTCCCGGCCACAGCAAAACGTGGACTTTGTCATCAGTTATAATCATATGGAAGGCGGGGGGCATCATTAAGTGTGCTCATTGCTCACAGTATCTTTAGTTTCAATAGTGTTCGTTATTTAAATAGTGGTTGCAACACCCGGTACTAAGGACCATTACCAGTTAAGCAGCGAGGGCTCTTTATCAAGCGAAAGTCTACTTAGATACTGGGTCTAGGTGTTTGTGTAAAGTGATTGGCTAAGGAACAGTTGCTACCTTTTTTTAGACCAAAACATCTGCCGTTTTCCAGTTTGTTTGTTATACCCCCCGCTTGAAAGGTGGGAGGATATGCAGTTATCGTTATGTCCGTCCGTCTGTCCGTCCGTCAGTTACGCTTTAAGGTACCCATCTCTTATCCGTAACTCCTTTCACAGAATCTTTATTACACATTGTCATTGTGCACTTCCCATTTTACTTTTTGATCCGACACAGCAAATCATGGACTTTTCTATTATAGCCATATGGGAGGAGGGGGTATCATTTAATGAGCTCAATGCTTACATTTTTTTCTTTTCTTTTTAAATTTTGATATTTTACATGTCAGAAAACGTATGAGCTGGCGACATTATCAAAAATGAACGTTTTTCAACCGGAGTGAATTACATGCTTAAATTACTTATATCAATAGCACAATGCTTCTAATCCTCACCGATTTCTATGAAAAGAATGCCTAGCATCAACTGTTACTACTATACCTATGCTATAATTAATTTTCCGTAAATGTTTGCAAAAATCAGTAAGACTCCACAGTCAAATTACATGCATTTTAAATATAAAGCAGTCACTGGTTACTTGTTTGTTTGAGTATTCAAGAATTGGTGTTTTTTATTGTATATATAATTAAATTAAAAAGGTACGTTCTTAGTGGTATTTCTGAATTCGCACATCGTTGTCAGCACAAATTTCGCTAAATTATGAAGTCCGCTATAGATACACTTGGTACGTATGCGTACAAAATCTGAAGAAAACAAATTTATACGGAGATGCCATGACCTTTTCATCTGCGAATTTATTATTTACACTCTTTATGTTAATGATAAAAGTGAAAAATGAATATTATATCAGGGTATTCATTCCGTAAGTAAATCAACAAAATAAACTGAATAGTGACATTTATGTTAATTTATTCAAGTTGTCCAAAATAACCCTCATGATCTTTGACCAAAAAAATCATTTTACTCCGATGAATTTTTGTTTTCAGTTTTCTTATCTGTCTAATGTGATACATGACTACAAACTACTTAAATGAATCGATGATTATGCGTACATCGATACATGAACAAATATCGCGAAGAGTAACGGACAACTTCAATTTCAAAAGTTAAAAAGTCTAAGTAAGTACGTAATTTCCAGCATATGCATATCCGTCACGATACTTATGTCCATAGACAATAACTCCAAATTTGGCATTATTGGTTGTTGATAAAACTATTGTTCCATTGTTAACTGTAAATGTAAGGATGCTAAAAGTGTTTTGTGAAATGATTGAACTACTCTCCTGCACAGTTAAATAATTTTCTGTAGAATAGCCGTTCAACAGCAGGTTGTTTTTAAACTTATGCTGTATAATCACACAAAGATAATTATTTGTATATCCGTCTGGTACAAACACCTTATAGAAGTCGAGATATTGATGGACACCTGGAATACCGGTCATATAAGGGCTGTTCATGCTCGAACCCATTCCAAAACCAGTAACCAATATAGGATTTTCAGACTCTAAAAGAGTTACTTCATTAGACTTTATTTCCAAATTTCTGTATTCGTCAGTCATGTTCAACGTTGATACGCCGGTACCGATACTTACATTAACTGAACTATGAATGTTACTTGCAACCTGAATCAACGTTGCCACATTATTGTAGAAGGGAGGCACAATGTACTGATAATCAAATTCGTTAGTAGGGGGAAGCTGAGCTACCATGTGACCATAGTAACTACCTTTTAGATACTGATATCGATTTCCAGAGAATACAGCGATAGGCTTTGTAGACACAATTAAGGTTCCACTGAGATCACCAGTGTGTCCTATTTGAAAAGTTTCATATTTTTCTAAAGTAAGTGCGAAAACATCTTGATTTTTGTATGTTCCACCAAGTAAAGCAATTGTAGCTGTGGTTTTTATTTTGAATTTAATGTTTATATTCGTTCTGTCATACAAGGCTGCAATAGCAAACTGACTATAACAGTCACTCTTTGATTGATATGGATTTGTTGACGAAACAATATATTTTGTTGACAATTTGTTTGTTGGAAAAACCAGTGTTCCATCGTTTCCATCAAACATGGATATGGTGGACAATTGAGATATCTGCAGCAGTACAGCTTTTGATTCAATTTTGAAGTAGTCACATGACAATTTAAAAGGAAATGTAATTTTTGAAGACGTGGTAATATTTGTTATTCTGTCTGTCTGCAATTTAATGGCTGCATCTAAATTAGGTGAAGTGGAGATCGTTACAGATGAATTACTATCTGTTGTAATTAATATTCTCATTGGTCCTGATGTTGTGGAAAGTTTTCCCATGAACAAAATAAGGAATTCTTTGCCTCTGCTACCTAAAAATATTATATTCAAAATGTAAAAGCAGAGAAACAAAATTTTCCTATTAATTTCCTAAGAATATTGTGGTAAAAGCACAAAATTTTACCTATTGTTTGTGTGGTTGATGTTGCTCCTTTTGTCGCAATCGTGTTTGTTTTCTGTGTGATTACAGATTCAAGCTTCGCTGGTGTGGTGTATATCTTTATTGTTGGACTGGTAGAGAATTTTCTAGTTGTTGATAAAGATGTGGAAGTTCGAACGTCATCTGCAAATTCGATACCCCGATCCATAATCTTATTTATGCATGCTTGTAATGCTTTTAGGAAGCAATATTTTGTATGACGTGAAGTTAGTCACATGTTCAAGTTACAGAAAATTTTATCACGTACAAGCATCAATTCAAATCCAAATGAAACATTAAAATGTCATCATATTTCTTATATTTTTATCATTATTTACGTAACAAAGAAAATCAAGCAGAGTCAAGTTACGGTCAGGTTATTCGACCTGCCTTTTGTTTAATCGACACCTAACAACCACCAAAACCGCTATTAATACAGTAGTTTTTAATAAACTTTACATTTACCGTAAAACTGAAAGAAACCAATTGTGCAATTTGTGTTTTTTACCAGTCAACTTTACGTTTTTGTTCCTTTCACTGGCGCATGCGCGGGTTGTTAGACCAATTTTATCGTGTGGTTCTCATGCTCAATGTAGACAGGGTATGAAAGATAAACACTCTGATAAATTCAATGACAACGAAAATTAAGGCTGTGACAAGTGTGCAGTGGAGACATAGAAGATAGTAAGTTTTTAATGTTTATGTTCATGGGGTATCGTCATGGGGTATCGTCATATGAGTTTCAATAACTTACGAATTATAAGACAAAATCAAATTGGATTTTGGTTTATTTTTCTTGAAATTGTTTTGAAAAGTTAAATAGGAATACTGCAAAAAAAATGAAAATAAAAATAAATTTAATTCACCTAAACAGTTTATCATGTTTTTTATTTTCTTTTCAGCATATATTGCATGTGATTAAAGATAATTATAAAGATTAAGGAAAGTTTTTATACTTAAATTGTTAAGCTTAAAGTTTAAATTTTGTATGTAAGTTTTTCCATAATCTGCAAAATATAGTTTCTTTTGACCGAAATGTAGATTTTTGTCACTGCCAAACTATTCATAAAGCTAATGTGATTTACTTTTGGTCCTAATATTAACGTACCAAGGAATGATGCACGTCTTTGACGCTCATCATACTTTATAAGAACCTGTTTCGCTTCCAATATCATACTTTCCATATATGAATTCTTTTTTATACATTATTTTTTCAATCAACGCTTTCTATAATTGAAAATGTATGAATGGTAGAACAAATCTCTTGATTTCAATGAGCAGAATAGAATTCAGATAATTAGGCAAAATAAATGTGAAGGCAAGTCGGACATATTTTTTGTGTAGAGATTGGAAGTAGTGTTTCAACAATTGGCATTTCGAAACAATATATAAAATGGGTTAGGGAATTATCATCGATTTAGTCACATTGAAAGCAATTTTCTTTGATGACAATCAGTTATTGAGACAAATTTAAGTGTTTAAGTTCGAACCTAAAAGGACATGTCAAACTGCAAGTGATAGTTCATTGATTTCAAGTTGCTATAGAAATAGAGCCCATCTTTTCACATGTGCAAAGGGGTTTGGGAATGTAGAGTTTAGTTTGGTTCAAAGCATGTAATCACAGGATGGTAGTATTTTAAGTACTGTTGATGGTTCCTTATCGTTTCCATATACAAAAAACATCTAACGCGTTATCTATTGACATTAAACATGTTAAATGACGCTGTAAGTAATCTATCGTTGCGTTTATAATATAGGGATGAATGCACATTTTGAAATTCAAGAGGACTAGCATAATTGTGTTTTAACTAAGAGTTTATGCATATTAGTATTATAAGTACATGATGACATTCTGGTGAATTTTTACCAGTTAATATCTTTCTTCTTTGGAGCTAAAGTAAGAGTTGCAACAGACTCCGAACAACAATGCGCATATAAATGTGATTACTTATTCAGATTTATAAAGTCTCAGAAGCATAAAGGATATGTTTTAACTTATGGCGGATTGCTAATTTTGGCTTATTTTTTGTTTTAATGATAGTCCGCTTAAATTTTAATCGCTGAAATAGTCAGTATTTTTCTTAGTGTCCATCTGCAATTATTGAAACCTTGCGTACGCTAAAATAAATTTCGCCAAAATTATCAGCATGCTTAGCAGTGAAAAAAACGCCAAATTTAACGCCCGCAAAGAAAACACGCCATACAGTATCATCCAATGGAGTTAACATATGCAAATTAAGATACATGACGTAGCTGCATAATTTATATATGTTAAATTTTCAAAAACTGAACCATGTGTTCATGAAATTACATTTTTATATTGTTATTATCTTTCTTTTTTAAATTTAAAATTTGGCAAATTAAAACTTAAAGCTTAAACATAGTAAGAGTTTAAAAAAAGAGAATAAATTCAATGTTTTAAAAATTAGAAATGAATAAAAATAATAATAGTTATTTAAAATAAAGTGTATTTTGTACTTACTTAAAGAAAGTATTTGATTAATGGAGTAAAGTTTTTCCTCTAGAATTTGCAATTGAATTGCTTGCTCCTTTACTACTTTCTGCAAAGCAGTAACTTCTATTTTTAAAAAATCCAATTCCTCTGTTCCAGAACATGTTTCACCCGCCCGTACATCATATAGTATTTGCCCTTTAGTCAAATTTGTCCATGATATTAGCAGGGTAATCCAAATCAAAGTGCTTTTTATCACAACTTTTCCCATTGAATTATTAACTTGGATGACAAGTTACCTATAAAAAAGAAAATAGCTAAAATATGCAGTAATATTGATCGGTTGTATACGGTAGTTCCATATATTCCAAATTTCTGTCAAACTAATAATATATTATTTTGAATACCTTGAATAAGTCATAAACTAATTAAAACATCCATTAAAGACATCTCTTTTCAGGTTAATTTTCTAACAATATGTCCAGTGTAGCTACCTCTAAAAATTCAACAACCAAAATTGAAAATAAAGATATGTTATATAGAGAATAATACATGCACATTTCCATACCACATCCTGTATCAGCCCGAGACACCAATATCAGCCAGAGGACCGAAGGCTGATATTGGTCGAGGGCTGATACAGGATGTGATGTTGAAAAGGGTATGTTTTATTACATTTATTACATACTTAGTAATAAAATATAGAACACAATAAGTCGATAAGGAAATAAGTACATAATCATTCACGGACTTCTTAAAATGTACACGGTCTATTGTCTCATACAGATTCGGTTTGTTTCTGCATGTACTTCTATTTCAAATGTCCCCAATCCGTAATTTTAAAATAATCTATTCTTTATCAGTTAGATTATCATTACATTCAAAAAGTTGAATTAATAAAATTAACAGAATTATGGTACCCCCAAAATATGTGTATGATCACAATTACAGATTTTAAGGTTTAATTTACTAGGGTGTGATATTGATCCGTATCAGACCTGCACGCAGCAGGGCTGATAATCTATATCAGCCCCGCAAATCAATATCAGCCCTGCAGGGCTGATACGGCTATTGTGACGTCAGCCATAGCGCATATGCAAAAAAATATATTTATTACTAAGTAAGTACAGTTTATTTAGCTATGCACCAAATCACCTCAATTTTATGTTAAAATTTATGAATAAATAAAAATATCATTTTTCAAGAGAATATTTAAACTCTTTATCGAAAATCATGACTAATTGATGTTTATGTCTCTCAGATTAAAAAAAATCTTTATTTTTAGTAATTCTCAGAAATCCAATTTTGTAAATTCATTTTTTCTGTACTAGAATAAAGTTAACAAAAACACACTTCATTAAGGTTGACCAGATAACACAGGCTAAAAAAATCAATAAAAAATTATATCAAGTTACTCTGCATCAAGAAATTTTAAAAGCTTTAGGTCCATGGAGAAAATTGAAAATTGTGTGTATGTGTAAAACTATGTAGTATACATGTAAAACATATATATCCTATGGACAGAGTGCAAAGTGTTAATTTCTATAAATAATGTAAGTTAAATACTTTGTATCCACAATGTCAATATAACCAACAAATATAAAAGAGATTTATTTTTAATCATTTAGGTAAATATAATTCAGTAGAAAAGTCATAATCAGAATTTTGGATTTGTGAGTAAAATGAAAACAGGATCGGTAAAGGTATGGACTTTCCTTAACGTCCCATTTTCCACCGTTGCATTCAAACTGTTGCAACGCTGGAAAAGGCAGCCATGGACTGCATAAAAAAATGAATAGAATGCTATTAAGAACATGCTATAATGACAACATTTAAAAAAAATATTCATTTCCACACCTTTATTCAACACGAACATTAGAAATATAACAAAACAATACTTAGTTAAAATGTACATTGTAATCATATGATTAAAAAAATGTGATTTTATCTATATGTTTTTTTAAATGTGATTCGAAATTATTGGTCGAGTAGGAGTTAACCGAAAATGGAATAGTTTATTTTTTTGTTTTTCTTAAACATGTACATGTAATTGACTACTTCCCTGTGTGTTTTTGTACTTTCACTCTAGTGATGTTAATGTAGACATAATTTTTATAATACTTGACGGACAGGAGAATCATAATAAAATTTATTTTGCTATTTAGGGATAACAGTTATATCATATGATTTTTTTTACAATGAAAAAAATATTTTTAAAACTAAAAAAAGGAGAAAAACTACGGATTTTTTCTTAACTTTTCAATTTCTGTTTAAACCTGAGTTTCCAATTACTTCCTAATTTTTTTTTTCCATATTAAGTTCTCCTAAACAGAAATAAAGAATGATTTTTCCGGTCAAATGCAGTACCGGTATTCTAAGCACAACACATATTTACTATCTGTTTGGAATTATTAAAAATTAATAAATACTACAAATGATACCTGTAAAGGGTTGTTCATTTCCTCACTAAGTTTCAAAGTCAGCAGTCATTTATACTTTTAATGAAGAAACAAGCAAAAGAAATAATTACATAGATTTTCCTTTAATCAACAGATAAGCTATACAAAAGGCATACGTATATTAGTATTTATACATAAAATAAAAATATAAAACTTAAAGAACATTTCTTACCCAAAATCAAAAGTTAGTAAGTAAGGAATCACAGTGGTTCCAATTTTAATAATCAGGTTTCAAAAGCATTTACGCAATAAGCTCTT